AATGGAAAATAAACAAACAAAAATACAAAGGATAAATGAGAAAAAATTGGTTCTTTGAAAAGGTAAACAAACTTGATAGACCTCTTGCTAGATTAACCAGAAATCGAAAAGAACTAAATAAGCTCAATCAGAAATGAAAAAGGAAATATTACAATTTATACAACAGAAATAAAAATGTCATCTGTGAATACTATGAAAATTTCTACACACATAAACTCAAAATCATAGAGGAATTCACAAATTCCTGGAAACACACAACCTCCCAGGACTCAATCAGGAAAAAATACAACTCCTGAAAAGATCGGTAATGAACAATGAGATTCAAACAGTAATAAAAAAATCTTCCAGCAGAAAATGTCCCAGACCACATGGATTCACAGCCAAATTTTTACTAGACCTACAAAGAAGAACTAGTACCCATACTGCAGAAATTATTCCATAACATTAGAAGAAGGGAATCCTCCCCAACTCATTCTACAAAGCCACTATCACCTTTATCCCAGAGCCAGAAAAAGGCACAACAAAAAAAGAAAACTACAGACCAATATCCATTATGAACATAGAAGCAAAACTCCTCAATAAAATACTAGCAAACCAAATGCAACAGCACATCAAAAAAATAATCCACCATAACCAAGTGGGTTTCATCCCAGGGATGCAAGGATGTTTCAACATATGTAAATCAATAAATGTGAGTCACCACATAAAAAGAAGCAAAAACAAAGACCATGTGATCATCAGCATAGATGCAGAAAAAGCATTTGACAAAATCCGGCACCCTTTCATGATAAAAACACTCAACAAACTAGGCATGCATAGAAGGAACATTTCTCAGGATTATAAAAGCCACATATAACAAACACACAGCTAACATCAAACTGAATGGGGAAAAGTTGAAAGCATTCCCACTAAGAACTGGAACAAGACAAGGGTGCCCACTGTCAACACTTCCATTCAACATAGTGCTGAAAGTCCTAGCCAGAACAATCAGACAAGAGAAGGAAATTAAGGGCATCCAAATCAGGAAAGTCAAACTATCGCTTTTTGCTGATGATATGATCTTATATCTAGAAACCCCCCAAAACTCCACCAACAGACTTCTGGAATTGGTAAATAAAATTCAGTAAAATCTCAGGTTACAAAATCAATGTACACAAATCAGTAGCATTCCAATACACCAGTAATAGTCAAGCCGAGAATCAAATCAAAAACTAAATACCTTTCATAACAGCTACAAAGAAAATAAAATATCTAGGAATATATTTAACTAAAGAGGTAAAAGGCCTCTACAATAAGGGAAATATGAAACACTAAGGAAAGAAATCGCAGATGACACAAACAGATGGAATGTCATTCTCATGAATCGGTAGAATTAGCATTGTTAAATGTCCATACTACCCAAAGTGATTTACAGATTGAATGCAATCCCCATCCAAAGACCAACATCATATTTCACAGACCTAGAAAACATAATTCTATGCTTCATTTGGAAGCAGAAAAGAGTCTGAATAGCCAAAGCAATCTTAAGAAAAAAGAATAAATCTGGAAGCATTATATTACCTGCATTCAAATAATACTATTATACAAGGCTATAGTAACCAAAGCAGCATGATATTGGCACAAAAATAGACACACAGACCAATGGAATAGAATAGAGAAAAACCCAGACATAAAATCATCCACATACAACCAACAGATCTTTGACAAAGCAAACAACAATATACACTGGGGAAAAGAAGCCCTATTTAATAAATGGTGCTGGGAAAATTGGTTAGTCACATGCAGAAGAATGAAACAGGATTCATATCTTTCGCCACTCACAAAAATTAATTCAAGATGGATAAAGACTTAAATGCAAGGCATAAAACCATAAGAATTCTAGGAGAACATGTTAGAAAAAGTCTTCTATACATTAGCCTAGGCAAAGAATTTATGAAGAAGACTCTAATGGCATCAACAAAAATAAATAAATGGGACTTGATTAAATTAAAAACCTTCTACACAGCTAAGGAAATAATCAATAGAACAAAGAGACAATCTACAGAATGGGAGAAAATATTCACAAGGTGTACATCTGATAAAGGGCTAATAATCAGAATCTACAAATAACTAAAGCAAACCAGCAAGGAAAAAAAAAACAACCCCATTAAAAAGTGGGCAAAAAGACATGAAGAGAAGCTTTTCAAAAGAATATAGACAAATGCCCAATAAACATAAGAAAAATGCTCAACATCACTAATTATCAGGGAAATGCAAATTAAAACCACAATGGGATATCACCTTACCCCAGTTAGAATGGCTTTTGTTAAAAAATCCCAAAACAACAGACGCTGGCATGGGTACAGAGAGGAAGGAACTCTTATGCACTGTTGGTGGGACTGCAAATTAATACAACCTCTATGGAAAACTGTATGGAGATCCCTCAAAGAACTAAAAGTAGATGTAAGATGCTGGGCTATTAGGACAACGGACACCTTCCAGCTTCTGTTTACTGCTTGCTTGCTAACCGCAAGGCATTATGGGTACATTATGGGATGCAGAAGAGAAAGACAAAAACGCGGAAACCGGAGTCTCTCAGCTAGGACCGGGAACAGGTTGGAGCCTATCAGGGGCAGGATGAAGTAAGAATCACTGTGGGGGCGGATGCATGATCAGCCTGTATAAAAGGCTCACTAGCACACAAAGCGGGGTCCCTGCCTGAAGAAGAGGCCACTGTGTTGGCACTCTGGAGGCTCGGACCCTAGCTCGAGCTAGACAATAAAGCTCCTTTTGATAATTACAGCCTCAGTGACTCTGTCTCTCTGTCCCGTGGCCCTGGGAATCTCAACTATAACATAGACATACCAATTGATTCAGCAATCCCACTACTGGTAATGTATCCAAAGGAAAAGAAGTAATTGTATCAAAAAGACAGCTGCACTCAAATGTTTATTGCAGCACAATCAACAGTTGCACAATGCAAGGATGTGGAATCAACCCAAGTGCCCATCAATTCATGAGTGGATTAACCAAATGTATATGTATACTGTGGAATACTACTCAGGCATGAAGAAGGATGAATTAATTCCTTTTGCAACAATTTGGATGGTACTGGAGATTATTATCCTAAGTGAAGTACCTAAATAATGGAAAAACAAACACCACATACACTTGCTATTAAACTGGAACTAACCGATGAGCACACGTGTGTACAGAGGGTAGTAAAACTCAGTGGAAATCAGCAGGATGGAGAGGGAGGATGGGATGGGCAAAAACCTACTTAACAAGTACAATGAACACTATCTGGATGATGGGTACACTTATAACCCTGACTCAAGCATAACAAAGTTGATACACGTAAATAAAAAATTTTATACCCCTATAATATTTTGAAATTTAAAAAAAAAAGAGAGCGATGACATGGTCATCCAGGTATAAATTAGTAAGAGCCTGGAGTGGATGGGACAGTAAGATTGGGGAAGAAGGGACAAACCTAGAAAAAGAGAAAAACTAATAGAATTTGTGGCCGATCCTTCAGGGAAGCAAAAATGGGATTAAAATTAGGAAATGATAGTATCGTTGACAAGGTAAGAATCTTTCCCCACTCTTGGAAAATGAAAGTTCTTAGGTATATAAGTGAGTTAGAATTAAAAAGTCAGGATTAGCTATATATTTATATATATACAGGGAGTCACAGAGCTGGTTTATGGAAGTGGTGATAAATCTATTTTTAGCCAAACTTATTGTAAGGTAAGACATCCATCCTGGAATTGGATTTGATTAGAACATCAATCTCGGCTACGGACGCCCCTCTCTTTTAGTTGTCTGTTTTTAATATAAAGCCAACAGATACAAACCGAAGGTGGTGCTGGTGGTGGTGTGTTTTTGTTGTTGCTATTTTTACTGTGGTACTCTTAGTCCTACAAAAGCATTTTTTGTTTTGTTTTATGTTTGTTTTCTTTTTCCTCATAAAATTCTATGATTGAAACAGTCACCTTGAAATTTTCAAGCACACGAGAGCTATGTGCAGGGCTCACATTTTTCAGGCCAAAAGCAAGAAGCCAGCCCCTGGCTGGTGAGGAGGAAGCAGCCTCTCCAGGCCTCTTTGCCCTGAACTTTCAGTTTCTACCTCCTAAGTATTGCGGTGTGCCACTTTTTCTGACCATGCATATTCTCTGCTTGCCAAATGAGGATCATGGTTCCAAAAGATTGGACTACTTTGCCATTTCTGAAATCAGTTGTTTATATGGCAGCCTATATTTCAGACAAAAACCTCAAACATTAATTCACATCCCCAAATGATTCTCCATTTTTAGCTTTTAACTTTGAAAATATTTTTTACATATTCCCCAAATGGTTTATTTTAGATCTGTTCTTCTCCCATTCATTTATACTGCAGAATGTGGTCAGCCAGGTTAGAAAGACAAAAGGGATTAAGTCATAAGATTGGCTTTTAAATAGCTGAAAATGTGTATTTGCCATTCAGTTGGGTGATTTGTCCTTTAAGATGGAGACGGAGCCTATAAAAAATTGAAGTGGGGGCTGAACATGGCAAAATGTGTTTGCTTTTCTTAGATAAATCTGTTAGTCTGTGTGTGCTATAAAATGGCATTATTCCTTCATTGGAAATTACACTTCCTACACAACATACGCCACTCTGCCTTCTCTTCACAGACTTCCCCAGGCAAAGTTCAAAATCCCTCCTGCATTTGTAGTCAATCCCATGGTGAAACCATTAGCTCAGTGCCTCATTTGGGCTCATCTGAGAAGTGTTCCAAGATGAGGTTCTTTTCAAAAGAGCATTTAACAATGAGCCAGCACAAAAATGTAAGTACAGATAACTTCCAAATTGGGTTTCTCAGAGCAAAATGTTAAGAAGAAGCCAAAACTCACAAACAATGAAGAAGGAATACAGATTATGGAATTTTGTATTTAACAAAATCCAAAGATGATATGTGATATTATATGATATGATATTATAGAGAAATAGATTGGCAACTGGAATGGCCATATGGACTTACCACATTAAGGAGAGTCAAATATTTCCACAGTCCCCCCTTTGCAAAGGTTTTGGAACTCTCCTTGTTCTTTCTGCATTGTGAGAGGTAAAAATTGAGGAAAATATACCAGTTCAACACAAGGAAGTGGTATATGCACGTAAAGTCTTCGTCATGGCCAGCGCTGACCAGGGTACCATGAATGTCTTGACTGGTTTCCCTCTGGCGTCCTTCTGTTCGTCACCACTGAAGTCCTACAGCAGGCCCTGCTACACCATTGGTGGGAATTAAATTAGCACAGCCATTATAGAAAACAGTACGAAGGTTTCTCAGAAAATTAAAAATAGAATTACCATATGATGCAGCAATCCCACTATTGGATATATAGCCAAAGGAAAGGAAGTCAATATGTTGAAGAGATATCTGCTCTCCCATGTTCGTCACAGAATTAGTCACAATAGCCAAGATGTGGGAAGATGAGAACCCTAAGTGTTCATCGATGGATGAATGGATAAAGAAAACGTGACGTACACATACACACCGGAATACTATTCAGTCTTTAAAAAGAAGGGAATTCCGTCATTTGCAACAACATGGATGCACCTGGAGGATAGCATGTTAAGTGAAATAAGCCAGGCACAGGGACAAACATTGCGTGATCTCACTAATATGTGGAATCTGCTAAAGCTGAACTCACTGAAGTGGAGAGTAGAATTGTTACCAAGGACTGGAGAGTGGGCAGTGGGAGTTGGGGCAAGCTGAGCAAAGGATACAAAATTTCAGCTAGACAGGAAGGATAAGTTTAAGTGATTTACTGTCCAACATGGTAACTATAATTAATTTCAATGTATTGCATAGATTTGTTGCCATTGAAAAAAATAATAAGTACATGAGGTAAGGCATATGTAAATCAGCTTAAGTTAGCTATTGCACAATCTATGCAGATTCCAAAACATCACGTTGTACACCATCAACTTGTACCCCATAAATGTGTACAATTTTTGTTTGGCAATTGAAAAATTAATAATAATAAAAATAGTTTTAGTCGACATTTTATAAATACTTAGTGAGGTCGAATATTTTGGCTATGTACTAATTTTCTTCTTCCTCTGATATAATTTGTTTGTGTGCTTACTCTCCCAATTTTTGTCTTATATATAATCTTGATCCTTGAAAATTCTCAAACATATATTAAAATTTTGTGAGTAATGTTATTTTTTAATTAAAGGGACATTTATTTCACACACAAAAAATAATAATAATAAAAATATCTGTTGAATAAATGAATCTGTGAAAACCAGATATAACTGGCTACTGAGCCTTACTATAAAGCCAGCTCATTCGTCACAAACCTACTATGCTCGAAGTGTTCAGCAGCTAGGTTCTGGGGAGGAGGCAGAACACTAAGATGAGTAAGACAGCCTAAGCCCTGGAGGAGCTCACAGCCAAGCGGCGGCGACAGATATGTAAACAAAAAATTACAGCACGATGTGATAAGTGCTATAATAGAGGTATGCATAAAATACTAATGGAGCCTAAATTATCCTGCACATTATTCTGTCATTCTAAATATACGGAAGATTGAGCTAACGACGAATGCCTTGAGTAAATCATGGGGAACTCCAGACACCATGCAGAAGACAAGGATTAAAGTGATCTCACTGAGTAAAGTAGTCACGGCCACCACTGGCATAGGTAACAGTTTTGCCTGGTGGAGATGTAACCCCTAGGCCAGCCATGGTGGTGGTGGGGGGGTTGAGATTCGAAGAGCAGGGAGTCTGCAAACCTGGGTTCGTGTCTGAGCCTGGACACCCTGCGTGACCCGGGGCTGGTGCGCCCTCAGCCTCACTGGGGCAGTAATTCCCTCGGGTGCGAAACGGGGTGTAGTAGTTTCTATCTCGCCCCCCACAGCCAGGACACCCACTGAACGAAAGGAGCAACTGAGGCCTCCAAGAGGCCAACTGATCCCAGTCCCACAGATCCACACACGTGGCCACACACACCGCGGGGCCAGCCGCAGTGGGGTGCGGACTCTCCACACTCAGGGCTGCAGGAAGCCCAGGAATTAAGGATACCAGGGCACGAAGTCGTTGAGGGGGTGGTGCACAAGTCTGAGGGCACGTGGTGTCATTTTGCCACGAGAGAGAGGCGCTCTAGCTGCCGCTGCTAAACAAACTGACCGTGAAATCCCAGTGGAGTGAAGCTTTTTAAGCTGCACAAGCCCTTTGCGATGGCTCATTCTCTTTGAAGCCGAGCCACACTCCTGCGGCTCTTACAGGCGCCCCTGCCTTTGCCTGTCCTTGGGTGGACAGTCCCATTGTCAAACTCCCAACTGAGGGACTGTCTTTTCCTGCGGGAGCCCTAGGTGACGCGGCCAGGGGGACCGTGAGCTCCTCCAGGCGTGTCGGGTCCACCTCTGTACCCTCAGCGCTACTCGCAGTGGCAGGGAAACTCTACATGCCACTAAAGACTTGCCGTTTGCATTGGCCAATTCTGGCATATTTAATATTTATTTAGGGTTTCCTTACCCTTGAGTTTCCTGGTTGTTACCATGCTTATTACCCAGTGCTGTTTGTATTCCCCCACAACTCCTGCTGCCTCTGAACCCATTGTCACCGTCACTGCCTGCTGATAAAGGACCAACAGGGACCTCTCCCCAGTAAAAGGCGAACAGTTCTGGAAATAATTAAACGTGTGTTTGACGCCCAGCGGAAGCCACGGTGTCGGGGAGACGAGACTCTTCCTCCAGTGAACTTTGCGCCCGGCGAGCCTTGTCCCCTTGCCACGTGCTGTACGTGTGGCTGAGAACGGAGCTACAGGGAAGGGTTTCGACCATCGGGTTATTTCTACCGCAGCCAAGAGCACTTGTTTTTCTCAGAGGCCACTGCGACTGCCTGCTTTTCAAACACTAGAACTTTCTGTAAAGGCCCCATCTGAAGTCTGGTAAGGGCCTACGCAGACTTCCAGCCACCAAACCAAGCCCACTCTGAAAGGCACTGGGACCATTTTATTGTTGCTGTTGTTGTTGGCTTTTTTTTTTTTTTTTTTCCAGTTTATGACAACTTTCCTGGCCCACCATTCTGCCGGTTGCATGGGGAAAGCTGATTCAGACCTGCCTTCCTCTTTGATCTCCGGCTTGCTTTCTCAGTAGAACAGCGTTCTGTGCTGATCTTCTCAGACTCACTCAGAGGAGCTGAGCTGCTTGTTGGTAGTTTTGAAGGTGTGTTTTTAGTTGGGAGGCCAAAGAACTCTTCCTGTTTATGAGCATGAAATTGACTCCTGTTGTTTTTAAAATTCAGAGCAGGAAAGAACCCTTTGAGGTCGGTTAGTTCAACCTCTTCATCTTTCAGATTCAAAAATTAAGGCTCAGAGAGGTTAAGGGACTTGCCCAGAGTCACACAGCTATTAACAAGAGAGCAGTGACCATAACAGGCCTCTTAACAAACCTTCCAGTGCGTTTTCACTGTTTCTTGAATTGCACATTTTTGTACCCAAGTTTTAGAATTTTCAGGTGAATTTCCCTTGCATAAATTAGTTTGTGTGTCAATTATGTGAGGTCTGATGAAGTTATTAAAGAGAAACTGTCTGCATAGGAATGCTGTTTTTAGACTCTGACAGATTTTGCATGGTTTGCACAAACCCTGGTAATTAGAAATGTGTAAGTTTTCTCAGAAGAGAACTCAGGTATTGTGTGTGGATTTTTATATCCTGAATTAATCATTGAAATTAAGAAACATATTCAATACTAGCCAATCAGCACATTCCAGCTTCAAGCTTTTGAAATCCTCATGTGAATTCCTGCTTTCCTGGGAAATTTATCACAAGAACAGCAGTTAAGCTCTGGTTATTTGGTTTTAGCCATCTATATAGAAATATATATGTCATGTATACTCATATGCATGGACAGCACTTTGCTTTGCTGGTTTTATATCTAATGGTTCTATCATTTGCTGAGAGAGGGATGTTAAAGTCACTTATCATAATTACAGATTAGTCTATTTCTCCTTTCAGCTGTATAGGTTTTTGTTTTATGTATTTTGAGGCTCTATTGTTTGGTATGTACACTTTTGGGACTGCTATGTCTTCCTGGAGGATTGATCCTTATGTTATGTAATGTTCTTCTTTGTCTCTAGTAAGTGTCTTTGCTCAAAGTCTACTTTATATGATATTAATATAGCCTTCTTTTTAAAAAAGTAATCAACCCTTACATAATATTTTTTAAATTCCTTTTACTGTCAACCTATCTCCTTGAAATTAAAATAAATTTCTTGTATACAGCATATAGTTGAGTCATTTTGTTTTGTTTTTTATCTACTGTGCCAATATCTGCCTTATAATTGGCATATTTAGGCCATTTACATTTAAGGTAGTTGTTAATACCTTGGGGCTCAAGTCTTCCATTTGTTTTCTCTTTGTTTCCTCTGTTTCTTATGCTTCTCCTCTTTATTTCTAGCCTTTCTGTGTGTTACTTGAACACTTTTTGGGATTCCATCTTCATTTATTTGTAGTGGTTTTGAATGTAGCTTCTTATGTAGATTTCTTAGTGGTTGCTCTGGTAATGGCAATATACACATGTGACTTATTACAGTCTACTGGCATTGATATTTTATTAATACCACTTCAGATGAAGTATGGACTTCTTACTTCCATTTTAATCACTTTACCATTCTCACTTTTAAATATCATAGTCTTCACTCTCAGACGGTGTTATATTTTTTGTTCTAATTATCAAATATGATTCATAAAACTCATGAGAAAAGTTATTCTATTGTATTTATCATATTTATGCCCTTTACATTGTTATTTCATCTTTCCCGATCTTTAAGTTTCATGTTAATTTCCCTTGCATGAATTATTAAATAGTTTGTGTGACAATTATGTGAAGTCTGATGAAGTTATCAGACCTCTTTTAATGTTGTCATTTATTTTGAATTGATTTCTTTACCTACTTCCTTTAGGTAGGTCTGCTATTAATAAATCCATTATGTTTTCCTTTATCTGAAAATGTCTTTATTTCCCTTGGATTCCTGAAGCATAGTTTTGTAAGACAGAATTCACTGTTGACAGTTCTTCTTTTAACACTTAACAAATGTTGTGCCACTTCCTCTGGCCTCCATGGCTTTAGATGAGAAATGTGTTCCCCTATGGTCAATGTCATTATTCTTGGGCTGCTTTCAAGACTCTTTATTTTTTATCTTTAGTTTTCAGAGATAGAGTTTAACTATGGTGTACTGAGGCATGCATTTCTTTGGACTTACCATACTTGGAGATTGTTAAACATCTTAAATCTGTAAGTTTACAACTTTCACTGAATTTGGGAGAGTTTTCAGCCATTATTTGTTCAAATATTTGTTCCCCTCCACCCTTTCTGCCCTCCCCTTTCTGGGACTCCAATGACATAAAGTTTTGGTCTTTTGTTATTGTCTCCCAGATCCCTGAGGATCTGTTCATTTTTTTTTTCAGTCTATTTTCTCTCTGTTTTTCAGATTGCATAAACTCTATTGCTCTGTCTTTAAGTTCTTTGATTCTGTCCTCTGTTGCCACCAGTCTACTATTGAGTTCATACAGTGAGTTTTTATCTTTGTTACTATATCTTTCAGTTCTATAATTTCCATTGGTTCTTCTTTATAACATCCATTTCTTTGTTGATATTTTCTAATGTTCATTTTTTTCAAGAAAATTTGTAATTGCTCATTAAAGCATTTTTATAACTGCCTTAAAATATGTCAGAATAAGTTCAGTATTTGATTAATCTCTGTGTCAGGTCAGTGGATTGTCTTTTTTTCAATAAAGTGTGATTTTCCTGACTCTTGGTATAACTGTTACTTTTCAGCTGTACCCAAAATAACTCCTTTTAACTAAATAAATGTGAGGGCAACTCTGCAATGAGCAATCTGGCAGCATTTTTTTTTTTTTGCTTGGACATTTTGTATTTTAGCTATTATCTTAGGAGACTCTGAGTCCTATTTAAATCTTTTATTTTAGCAGTCAATCACCCTGCTTAGGTTTGGCACATGAATCCTGGCCTGACTCTTGTAGGCTATGATTCTTATGACAATTTAATTTTCTGAGCCTTTGTGATGCTATTTTGATCTGCTTTGTTTATCTGGTGCCTCTGAGACTCCCAGGGTGATGACTAAAAATGTCTCTGGACATTACCAAAGTCTACTAGGGGAGAAAACTCCCCCAGTTGAGGACCACTGCTCTCTAGAAAGCAGAGAAATTCAGTGTCCCCAGTGTGGCACAGGGAATGATCCTGTGGAGAGAGATGGAGGGATATTTCCCCAAAGCCTTATGGAAGCACTTTAGGATCTCATCCAGTGTTTTTATGCACCAAGTCCTTTCCCTGGGAAGAGGAAAAGGCTTTATTTGCTTCTTTCTACATCTGCCCACCCTTGCACTCAGGGAAGATGCCGATAATGGCTCCTGTAGTGGAGCAGGATTTGATTTCCTATATAGCCCAGCTCCGAGATTAATCTAGCCCTCGGGAAACAACTGGCCTTTATTAAGGCATTACAACTATCATGAACTCCTTTTAGTATTACATATATATGTACATATTTATGTTTTGCTTTAAGACATGCTGTCAAAGATCATTATCAGATACATTCTTTTTTGCTTATTAGTTGATTTTCTTCTTTTTACATTGCTGAAATGACATCACATGACCTTTTGAAAGTTTTGCTTTTCTGCCTGGAAACATAGGCCAGTGTTTCATAAAAGCAAGGAAAAGGTTGCTGTGCTTTTAAAAATCCCCTTATCTCAAAAAAAAAAAAAAAGGAAAAATAAACCCCTGCCAGATTACCCATACTCATTTAGTTTACCATACTCATTTTAGGAGTTGTTTTGGTTAAGCATTTACTGCCATGTGAATAGAAAGACACCCTCAAACCATATGAAAATAAAATGAAACCGCACAGAACACTTGTTTACTAAATGGCTGAAATGAAGGTCACACCTGTTGGCCTCCATGGCATTTTCTGGCTGCTAAACATATCCAAATGATTGTGTATTTACGATTTATCTGGGATTGCCTCACATTATCTGGTTGGGTGAGGTGTGTGGTCACTGAGCACTTTCCACCAATCTCCTCTGGAATGCTCTTGGGGTTTTGGGCTACTCAGAGTGATTCTAGTTTTGTTTTGTTGGTGACCAAAATAAATCACATACCAATATAAAATAAAATCAGTCTATTTTCTCTCTTACTTTCAACCAAAGTAGATTTCTTTGAGCCGTGGCCTGCTGAGGGTGAGAATGCTATATTGATGTGAGCTCAAGGGACAAAAAGCACAGCCGATTATCCGCTGGTTAGAGCAACCGTCCCCTGACCCTACATGCCAGTAACTACCCCGTCGTAAACTTTGTCTTGAAAACTGTCAAAACTTCTTTCTGTAATGTTCGGCCTTTTCCCCTTCTCTGTTCACCTTCTCAGATCCAGAGGGAGTCATGTCAAAATGATTTGGAAAAGGCCAGCATAGGGAGTAGATGAAGTATAGCCATTTGTCTTCAAGGCTGCCCCGGAGCCATGAGGCCTCTTTGCCAACAAACTTGCT